GATTGAAAACCACCAGATTCTGACCCAGTCATCACGTCATTTTTAAGGGAAAGCAACAGGATTATGATCGCCAGCTAGTTTAATCCAGTGGTGTATGTAACCAATCTTGAATTTCTCTGAATATAACTAACAATCTTATATAGCCATTGGAGGAATGAAAAGGATCAAGGGAATACTCACATTTAGGCTGCATAATGACTGGCTGCCCAACAACAAAATATATGAAAGGTACTGAGTAGGTACTAGAAGTCCAGATTCCCCTGGCGTCATATAACATCTACTAAACATTTTAATTAACTGTAGACTTCACAGTAAATCTGGTTAGTATTTACCCTCCTTTTAGACTTGGGAACAATCTAATCAATTTGATGTGCAGGCAGCAGAATGACAACGAGGCTTTGTCTTTCACAATGGTTACCTTTTTCATTGCCAGGGCCATACCTAGAATCTCACAGCAAGTCTGAGTTCATTTAGACAGTGCAGAGAAAAATACCTCGGAATTTGACACTACAGATTTAAGTCAGGAGATTGCAGGCTTTCATCTACGCATGAAAAAAAGAAAACTTTGAGTTGGCAATACCAAAGACACACACACAGTGGAGCAAATTCTCAACATCCAACTGGGCTCAACCAAAGAGGTAAATCAGAATTATCTGTGGTATGAGGGAGTGACATTATGCAGAAGTGAAACATTACAGACTGTAGAAGTCACTAGTCACCCAAATTTATGAGAGATGCTATTGAGAAAATTCTGAGTCAGACTTAGCTTCTGCTCAGAGCTTTCACCTTATCTTTGTGGCATAAGCCACGAATCAGAGAATGCTGGGGGGGGAGGGTGGAGACAGGCAGGGCTTAGGATTTGGAAAATGAATTTTGAGCATTCTAAATTTATGACAAAGCAATGCTTGGGGCTCATTAAAGATGTTTAAAAAGGGGAAGTATTCTGAAAGGCAAGTAGAAGAAAAGCTTGCAAGAGGCTTTTCTCTATGAAATTAGGTTTTAAGAAGAGTTTTCACCAAAACTACATGTAAGAGGTAACAATGAAAATAAATTCAGCTTCATTTCCATTCATTTATTCATTAATTTATTCAACCAATATTTATTGAATGCTATGTGCAACAACTGGGAGAAATGGAATTCTAAAGACAGGGATAAGATACCCCCAGGACACTTCCTAATTAGCCATTTTCTGTTTTCCAAGGTGATGGTGGGGAGGTGTCATGAATAAGAATAACAGAATTCAGTAACACATCTAGTCAGGGATGGAGATCTTCAAGCCTCCTTCCTTTGCTGTCCTTTGGAGATAAGCCCTTGCTACAGAATAAAGGAACACAAAGTACCCACAGACATATGTCCAAAGGACCCAAGACACTCTCAGTTTTCAATATCCTTCCCCATTTGCTCAAAATGTGTGCTGTATTTGTTCAATTATGCAGCCAATTTGACTAGGGAAATACAACCAGCTTGGTGGGCAACTAATGACCTCCTGGGTTCTCTCAGAGGAAGGACAGGAAATGGTGAATTACAGGCTCCTTAAGCAACACTGAAGTCAGATCATGAAGACAAAGCCATGGCTCTTTGAAGCTCTTTGAAAAGAAGTGCAAGAAGACAGGAGATGCTAGAGCAAAGAAAACCAGAGGCTACTTTCAGGAGGGGAGCTCAGCAGAGCAGCAGTTCCAGACCTTTTGGTACCAGGGACTGAGTTTGTGGACGATAGTTTTTGCACAGACCAGGGGTGCATGGGGGTGGTTTCGGAATGATTCAAGCACTTTTGCTGCCACTGATCTGACAGGAGGTACTGGTCCACGGCCCAAAGGTTGGGGACCCTTGCTATAGACACATTTCTTTGGGATTGGTAAGAAGTAAAGACATGACAAAGCAGAGAAAGAAGGAAGCTCATCCTGACCTTTAGTTGAGGGTTAAGATAACTTACAGAAAGACTGGCACCAACACCAGATTCATTTTGGATTTCTGAGCAGCCCTGGAATATTTTCCTTTTTATTTCTTTCAGAGAACTAACCATTTCATTTTAAGGGAATGGCCTTGGATACCTTATGTGATGCTTTTGAATTGTGGAGCCGGAGAAAACTTTTGAGAATCCTTTGGACAGCAAGGAGATCAAACCAGTCAATCCTAAAGGAAATCAGTCCTGAATATTCATTGGAAGGACTGATGCTGAAGTTCCAATACTTTGGCCACCTGATGTGAAGAGCTGACTCTCTGGAAAAGACCCTGATGCTAGGAAAGACTGAGGGCAGGAGGAGAAGGGGGCGGCGGAGGATGAGATGCTTAGAAAGTATCACCAACTCAATGGACATGAATTTAAGCAAACTCCAGGAGAAAGTATCACCAACTCAATGGACATGAATTTAAGCAAATTCCAGGAGATAGTGACAGACAGGGAGCCCTGGCATGCTGCAGTCCATGGGGTTGCAAAGAGTCAGACATGACTTAGTGACTGAACAACAACAACAAATTAGATGTCTTTCGGGGTAAAGTGGTTATTTCTGTACCACAGGTAGATGGACAGGTTTATTCATGTGTAGTCCTAAAAATATTCCCTCCAGTATAGGTACCTTCCATGGAATGTGCTACAATTCTGCGTAAATGATACTTATATAAGATGACTCTTCTTTATGCTGGGGCACAAGGCAGAGTTGACTATTCTGAGTCAGAAAATCTGGATCTGGAGTTGGTTCTGCCACTGGCTGTCTGAAATTTAGGTCAAGCCATTTGAACCCCTCTGAACCTACATCTTCTTATTAATCTTCTACATAGCACTTTTAGGAAGATGAAATAACCCAAAATGCATTACAGTGCTCTGAAAATGATGAAATGCTAATTCAAATGATAGTTTTAGTACTCTTCACCAACATTCTTTGGCCTAGTTGTAATGGTATGGAGGGAAGGTGCAGCAGTAATAAAACAGAACTCTTGACCAATGAAATAGAAAGACATAGAGCACAATGGACATTCACGTAGTAGAAAAATATTCTTAGCCCTGGGTAACATTGAATTCTATTTATAATACCAATACCAGCTTTTCTTCCTATTTGACTTTGATTTCCTAAAATAATTAAAGACTTAACATAAATGAATACTAATGATACTCAATACAGTAGAGGGAAAGGTTTTATTTACCATTGATATTCACTGTCAGTCTTACATATAAAGCCCCAAATAATGCTACCATTAAAACCAACAGAATGCTTAGTATTACCTCGTGAATGGTACCTGTGTGATCTCTTCTCTATATTCTTACCTCAGGCTTTTACCAAAAATTTCTGGAGAACCCACTAAATAGTCACATTGTGCTAAGCACGATAGGGGACATTAACACAGATTAAGACACAGTCCTTATTCCAAAGGCATTCACTGTCTCCATTAGAGAGAGGTGGGGTGGGGAGGGCGGTGGTGGGTAGCGGATAAAAAAGCTAACTGCAACAAAGTTCATGGAGAAAGATCCAAGGCATTATGAGGATCTAGACAAACGACAGATTACTTCCAAATGCAGGAACCGATTAGTACAGTGATAACCACTTTACCCCGAAAGACATCTAATTTGTTGTTGTTGTTCAGTCGCTAAGTCATGTCTGACTTTTTGCGACCCCATGGCCTAGACAAACAACAGATTACTTCCAAATGCAGCCCCATCTGCTAGGGGCTCGGTGGGGAAAATCATTCAGAGTAACGGCGTGGAGGATGGCAGCTAGGCTAAGAAGCAAGTTTGAGCTGAATCCTGAAAGTGCATGAAAGCAGGACGCATTCAGAAACAGTAGTTACAATAGCACAGCCAGAATCTAGGTACACAAGATGACGATGGTGTAAAAAACCAGGTCAAGAGAAAATTGTGGAAGGCTGAAAATGTCCAGCTGAGAAGCTAGGTTTTTTAAAAAGATGCAGAAATCCAGTCAAGGAGGAATGCCGTGATGGCTCTTGGCACTGGGAAGATGCACAACTACCATGAGTATGGAGGAGGTACTGGGGGGTGAGAGAGACCAGAGGCAAGCTGACCAGATAAGGAGCTCTGGCCCCAGGTCAGAGGTACTGAGAGCCACACAGAGGCCTGGGGCAGCAGCGAGCAATGGATGAATGGCAGTTCGCCTTTTCATCTTGAGGTGACACAGTCCCCAAGGGCACTTGGTTCTCAGACATACTGTGTTGCCAAGATGAAGAGGTCTTCACGCCTTGGGCTAAACCAAAGACCTGAAAGTACTCAAGTCCCACAAATTTGAGCCACTGCTCCTTTAGAGACCTGCCTGGTGGCATCTGTCTAAAGAAGGCACGCTGAGTTAGAAGTGATCACGTGCAAAAGCCTTTCTTAAGCAAGGGCCCTGTGATGTCATACACATAACATAAAAGCAAAGTCCAGTGATTTGCATCATCCTGATGCCACACTACATGCCAAACCTTTACATCTTTGTCCTCTGTGGAGTCATGAAAAGAAAATCTTTTTTACTTTATAATTTCTTGTCTTTTCCCATGAACATCTTTTTCAAGTGATGACTGACAGCTAGAATTATCTCACTAATCTGCTAGGATGGTGAGCATAAATGATTTCTGTATTTGATGATGGAAAATAAGATGAACTAATTCATCCCCAAATATGACCAGTGAGCCTACTTTCTTAAATGCTTTAAGATACGTAATATGGCCAAACACATGTACAAATTGTATCATCAGAAAATTAAATGACCTACTTTGTTCTTAAACTCTATTCTCAAATATGAGATCAAAGCCTCTAAAATACATGCAGCAAATCAAATACCACCACGAGCATTCATTTATTTAATACCTAATGTATGAATTCTTACTTATGCTATTGCGTTCATTTTCTTCTTTCAGATGACAAAAAAGAGACTCTGTAAATGGAGCTAAACAGATTATTGGAGAAAACAGTTAGACATAGAATGACTCTAAGTGAAGATTCCTGGCACTTTTCTATGTGTGCAAGTGTATGTGCTCTGCATCCCAATGACAAAGCTAGAAAGAAAACTCACCTGTTTTCTTCCTCAAGATCTGCTAGGATTCTCTCTAGCTCCCCTCTTTCCTCACTTTCTAAGGAAATCAAGATCTGGGCAGGACTACGAGGCTGGCTCAGGGGGGAGTCCTGGTTCAAACTTTGGCAGTAATGCTGGATTAACAAATGTTCATCATCTCTGGAAAATAAAATCAAAGGTTTTGGTTTTTTCCCCCCTTATTTTGCTTTAGGGGGCAGGGACTCGGGCGTCTACTTTAAAATTGAAACAGTTATTTGCTCTTAACAATTAATTAGACCCTTTTTCCTGCTTTTAAAGGCATTTTGATACTCTTGAGGTTGTGGTTCTACCCTCCTATTGGTGACAGTTCCAAGCGTTTCTTGCTCAGATTTTCCATCGAATCTGGGTGGTCAATTTACATGAGTAAGTCAATGGCTTGAATTTCTTAACCCCACTGAAGCAGGATGGTAACAATAATGAAACTATGCATTAAATGACTATTTCATTCAATTATTGTTTAGCTAGAAAAACGAAAATCAGCAGGAAAAAAAAAGAGCCATTAACACGACTAATTAAAAGAGGACTGAACAACTCATTCCTTAGAGCAGCTTAGAACAAAGAGGCCAAAGGCTTGTATTTTGGGAGGCAGCTGCCATCTTTCTTTATATCCAGGGATTCTCACATACACAGGAGAAATTATTTTCTAAATGCACTGCTCGTAACTCCTGAAAAGCCTGTGTACCTCTGAGTTACAAGAAATTCATCCTGTTCTTAATAAGAGGCTAAAACCCTTTGTTTCTGGCTAGACATTAGTAAGATGATACGTTAACATTTCCCTCTCCACACCTGTTTGATGTCCTTTTCTCATCTCTGACTCTGAGCTGAAAAAATTTCAGATACTTGGGGAAAAAATCCTCCTAATTTACATGATCTTGGTCCATCAAGTCAGATAACTGGTTAGCAAGTTAAAATTAAAATAATGACTGGGTGTTAAAAATAAACATGCAAGTTAAGTCAACCCATCTATCAAACCTCTTCCCCTGACCTGACCCTAAGATTTCATGTTATTCCCAAGCAACACTGAGTCAGAATGGATACTATGCCCTCAGAATAAGCTACAGCTAAATTTTGCTTAAAAATAAGCCAAACGCAGTTTGACCAGCTAATCTGTTAGCCCTCATCCCAAATTCTGAAGGTGTATTGTGAGGACTTCCCATGTTTAATTACAATAGATAGTTATAATTCAACTTCTCTTACTGTTCCCTTGGGCAGTCAATGAATGGCAGCCATTCTTACATAGATACAACTGGAATCACTGTGAATGTACTATAGTTTCTAACATTCAAATCAGTGATCCAAAGAGCCAAATCATTCAGGTTGCTTACATTTAGTTGATTCTTTGTTTATGTATCCTTCTGTCAAAGTAGTTTATATATTAATACTATTAATACTTCCCCCCACAGCTCAGAAAGAGAATGTACCACAGTTATATTCACGGGCAAAGGCTTTTTTGTTTAGTATAACTATGAATGGCTGAGTGTTGACTCTATTATCACCTTGATCACCTTTATGTACCAGAGGAGATGACTTATTCTCATGTCTGCTATAACCAGTTATGTATAAATGCTACTTGGGTACTATTTCCTTCAGTCTCATCCTTATACAGGCTGTTTCTCATTTGACTGTGACTGTGGGTTGCCACACCATGTACATGTGATAAATTTACCATTTTCCCTTTGCCTAGATTCTCTGTGACAAAATGGTGAGACATCCGTAACCTAGGAAACTAACACCATCATTGTACCTTGACTAGATTTCATCTCTGTAAGTTGTCTATTCAGTTATCAGTTTGTCCTCCATACAAGCTTCTCAATCTGCTCCCTCCACCTCAGGATCTCGGTTCATGGCAGGATTCCTCAATGCTCCTTACGGTCAATACTACCCTTACTCTGTAATGAAACCTCTGTTCCCCTGCCATCGCGGTGTTCTCTGCCACTCTGAGCATCACTCTCTCGCCTTCTTTAAATTGGACAGGCCTGGAGTATCATCCCACTACAAAACCGTGACCTCAACTTGTACTTCCTCTTCTTAAACCCTTCACAAGACTGCCTCAGTTTGTTTAGCTCATGAAGATGCTCAATCGCAAAAAAAAAAAAAAAAAGAAAAGAAAAAAGCTAGCTAGGTTCTCTACAGGAAAATGCCCATCTAGCTATCCCATGGGAATACCAGTGTAGCTATTCCAAGATGATAGTTCTACTGCCCATGGATGGGGCCATCACTTGAAAAATTAACATCCAGTCCCTTTAAAAGTCCCGCTGGTTTGGGCAAAGAGTAAACATTTCATACAGTTTTGGTGTTTGAGACCCTGCAATCTGTGGTAGTACAGCACTGAATGAGGGGAAGGCAAAATGTCTGGGAACATTTGTGCCATAGTTTTGAGGAGCTCATTCTGTGTTGGGTTGTCAAGAGTTAAAGAAAAAAAAGCCAATGAGCGTCTCCCAGAAAGATCCAATGAATATAAATGCTAATTCCTATCTTCTGTGCTACCCTATGTCTAAATCCCTCTAAGCAATTTCATGGTCAGGAACATTTTGTAAAAAGAGACAGGATACTTACATGCTCTCATTAGGAGAGATGCTATCATTTAGATAAGATCCACTGCTGTTTTCCATTTCTGCTAGCCTGATAAAAAACGTAAAAGCTCATTAAAACTTCTGTGACTTCTTAGACTCTATTCAAGACCTAATCGAACATTCCTGAAAACTAAAGGATAAACCATGTCAAGAGGAGAAAGGAATCCTTCATATTTAAAGGATGTGTGTGTTGGCCTAGCTGTTTGAGGTGAGTGGTGGACTCCAGCTAGTTAAGCTGCTTTACATTTATGCTATAAATTACAAGAGAAGTTGCATTCTTTTTTTCTCCACAGGTTGATCTTCCTTTCGCTGAGAAGAGGCCTCTGTTTTCATGGGACAAGCTTCCTTAACAACAAACACACTCCATACCTTCCACTACCCCATGTGTTTTTTAAGACAATTAAAGCTTTCCACTGATGACAGAATGATAATAGCTAGTTAATACATCCCATGGTTGATAAACACGTTGAGCAGTTAAAATATTGCTAAAAGATAATTCACAACTCTCTACACATTCTACCACCAATTTTTACCTTTAAAAACCTCCTTCACCTCAAACAATAATAATCTTTTTACAACTTGAAAGTTAACCAAACTCTTAACAGATGTACTTAACAGGCATATTTTACAATTAGCAATTTAGTTCTTAGATATAAAAGTTACCTCGAACACAAAGAATGTGAGACAGAAAGGTCCAAGGATTATGAAAAGTAATGATTCTCTTCTTTACACCACATTTTGTCAAATACACACAGAAATCTAAGCCAATGCTTTCTTTCATATTCTGCATATAACACAGTATCATTTCTTCACATACTTAATGTCTGGTCTAGCAGTTTTCTAAGAAGGGTAGATGATTTCTAAGTCAACGGATTAAACGTGCTCAGTATATAGAACATAACAAGGCTCTCAAAATGTTTAAAGGCCGGGGTTAGGGCAGATTGTTCTGGACTGAAGCTCTCATTGGTGTTCAAAAACAACATGCAGTTGGAACAGCATGCACGTTAGAGGGCAAGGTGATTAGTAGAAATCAGACAAGATTGGGGAAAAAAGAAAAGATTTGTTTAAAATCATTATAGGTTAGCTTTCCTTGGTTAGTTACTTCAATCAATATTTGCCTGGCATTCAACTAGTCTCATACCTGCTAGCATAATGTTCAATGCGTGAATGAGTATCATCGTGTGAAAGCTGAGGGGACGAGGCAGGCCTATAAGGCAGAAAATGTGATTAGTCACAGATACCACCCATTGATGGAGAAAAACCCACCCCACAGTTCTGTTACATACACGGCCTAGAATGCTTTTAGCCTAAAACTACGAATCAGATACACATCTGCTTGTCTCTATATCTTAGAGAGACCATCAAGTATTGACAATCTAGGTTTGACAGATGATTGGTCATTCTTCTGCTTTTCTCAAAAGCCACAAGGAAGGATCGCAAACTTCTCTGGCAAGTTTTAATGACAGAAAAGGTCAAGGAGACAGTCTCTACCTGACACTCAGTCTTCCTATCCTGTCATGTCTCATCGTTTACAGTTCTGAAATTGTGTTAGCTGTATACGGTTTAAAACTTCACACAGTTTACACCTGTGCCATTTTTAGCTGCCTTCTTATTGAAGGAAAACTGTACATTTGCCTAGTACATTTGCAGTCAATGATTTTAGCTCTGGAGAGGCCACTGCAGTCTGTGACCAAGATTCCACGTATCAAGAAGTCTTGGTCTGTACAATTTTGTAAAGAAGGAATATATCTACCACGTTAGCAGCAGGACTATACTGCTACTTGGTAGAGTAAAACTGAAGGGCCCCAAATTATAATGTGATGCTTTAAAAAAAGAACTACTAACTTCAATAGAATGTCACAGTACCTGACATATTTCTTATTAGGGATACTGTGTGCTAATGTACAGAGCGAAAAATGAGAGGAGGATTAGCATTCATAGTCTATTTACTTTGTGGGTAAAAAAAAAAAACCCTATGTTTTTGGCTTCACAGATGAACAGTTTGGTAGGGTTGACATGTTTTCACCTTTTCATACCTGATCTATTAATTGTCCTTGAAGTTTTTATAGTATCTTTTAGATTAACCGTAGGAAAAAAAATCCATCTGTTCTGAAAACCAGTTTGGGCTTGTGCTTTTTTTTGTTTTAACTGGAATCGGACAAAAAGGTCTCTTCCATTTCTCTCCTGACACAGAATGCCCTTAGGTAAAGGCATGAGTCCAAAAGTTGACAGTGATCTATTCAGTAAGGACTAGTTTAGTCCAGTGCCTAAGCAGAATTCAAGAACTTGTTCAGAACACTAAGAAGAATATGTTTTTTCTTACAGTTAAAAAAAAAAAGAAAAATGTGTAGCTACCTATGTTTACATAGGAAATATAGTAGAAATCTGTGTTTCTTAAAGAAGACACATAATTATAAAATAGTTATAACACACTACATAACCAGGGAACTGAAATCTTGCCTGAGAGATAAATGTCTTATTTATGAAACCAATGTTGTCAACGTCAATTGTCACCAGACTCAAACTTGGAATCAACTACAAAGATGCTAAAACTGTCATAAGGGAACAAAAGGATGGCAACCCAGTTTACCAGGCAGATCCAAAGATTTTCAGGTAAATCTTCACTCTAGTTTTGGAGATAATCTGCTAATTTGTTAGAACCCTGGAACAGTCCATTATTAGAAAAATGCCAAGGTTTGCTTGGAAATATTCACTGCAGGTCAAGATAAGTGAGTACTTGGATTAATTGGTTTATAAGCCCTATCTTCTGGAATAGACCAGTCTTTCGATTATATACTTCTTAGAAGCTAAAAGCCCACCATCAAGGAAAACATATTAGTGTTTCTCCCTTGTAACGGTTGCTACATTGGTAGTGTAGAGAAGAAAAAAACATGAGATCTTGGAGCATAACTGCACTAAGAAAGCTCAGCATGTAAATGCAAAACACTTTAATAAAATCTTAAACAGGATATCTTATGCAAAGCTTTAATTCTTAGCCTTGAGGATATTTCCATGTTATTTTTCTTATTAAAGTATGTAACACATAACACAGCATGCTTAAGCACAAGAACTCATAAAAACCAAGAAATCTAAAAATATATATATATATGTGTGTATGTGTATATATATGTGTGTGTGTGTGTATATATATATACACACACACACACTAAAGGAGGTACTTATGAAACCAGAAAATGAGCCAAAAGGGAATACTAGTCAGAGAAGAATCATCTAAAAACCAAGAATTAGTAAAAGTATAAAACCACTTAGTCCAGAAACAAAGCTAAATGCGAAGCCTTCTAAGCACTTTTCCAAGGGAAGGTAAGAATGCTGTTATCCCTTCTCACTTCCTAAATATAAAGTGATAGATCCCCCAAAGGATTATTCCTGTTATTGTTGATGGCCAATTCCATCCCCTCCACCACCATTTTCTCATTATCTGTGACAACTCCACTAATAAATTTTCAAGGCAGAAGAGCTAAAAGAATATTGTTTGACCGTCTCACTTGTGGACAAACAATATAAAAGGTTTATGCCAGGTTTACTTTCAACTAAGATGACAAATCCAGGTAAATAAGGGGTTCTTTCCTAAGGAAAAAAAAGATTTGTATCTCAGTAAATTTTCAAATTCTATGATCCATCCTGAATGGACTAAATGCTGTCATTGTCATAGGATTTGTTAATATCGAATAGAATTCTTGCAAGATAAAGCACTCTAGGAGCTGACTCTTCTGCCTGAAGAAAATAGCTTTACAATTTATTTTCTAAATTATTTACCACCCCAGGAATAAAGACTTTAATAAAATTACACATATTACAGGGACTTCAGTCTGCTGGGTTTGTTTTCTTCCTCAAAATTAGAATTTCCCACTATTTCTGAATAATCCAGCATACTTTTTATGGGAAGGCAAAGTGGGGGCAGGTTTCAGTTGCTAGAGAATATATTTTTTAAAAAGAATGTTTTCAGAAAGACAAACACCCTCTACTTAAAATAAGCTACATTAAACTGACTCCCTGAATGCTTCTCATTAGCTTATAGATAGAATAAACTTCCTCTCTAGTTAGTTATTCTTTATTATGCTGTGCTGCTACCTCTGTCTATGTGTTTTAAAAAATTAACCTTTGGCATATTTGTCTTTTGGATTTTTAAGTTGGTTAGAACTTATTCCAACACAGAGAAAATCCATTTGCTTATCAGGATCCAATCCAGCTGAGAATTTCAGTATATTATTTTTTAGAAGTTATTTATGAAAGGTGTTACCTTCTGTAAACATATAGACTACCTGGGATAGGGAAAATAATTACCAATAGCAAGGAACATAGCTGAATCTAAATAACTCCCCAAGTTGTTTAAGCATAATTAGTAAAGAAATCAAGTATAGTAACCATATCTCAAAATTAAAAGGCACAATAATGTGGCTTTAAAGAAGAAAGGAAAGCCTCACACTTCCTTTAGGCCAATAAAGACTTCAAATAAACTTCAATTAATAGTTTGCACTTATCATGACAGGATTTTTTAAAAAGGACCTACTTTATTTTATTTTATTTTTTTTAAAAGGATTTCAATGTATGACAAAAACCACTGCAATGATGTAAAGTAATTAGGCTCCAACTAATAAAAATAAATGGAAAAAAATTAAAAAAAAAAATAAAAAGGACCTACTTAAAATTTAACTACATGGTGGAATAAAAAAGACCCAATAAAGATAAACTGAATTCTTATATAAGTCCACTCTCCAAATTAGTCATTTCCCTCTTATATATAATAGAACTGTCTGACTTTAAATAAACATTTTAATAACATACATTGTGAAATACCAAAATTTTGTTATAAACCCCCCCACACACTGTAACTTTAAAACAATGCACTTTGCTGATATATAAATCACAGACTCTATAGTTTTCTAATGACATTCTAAATTCTGAGATAAGTCAATCAATTATTTATTAATATCAAGTATTAGTATTATTAATAAGACACACCAATAGTAATAACAAAGACTACAGTACACTCTCCTTCCAGTGTAAATGTATGTTTATGAGCTGGGTATTTAGCTTGGAGAAGAGAGCAAAGTGAGTGTAGGTCAAAACTGAGAAATTCATATATATATATATATATATATATACACGCATACACATACACACACACACACACACACACACACACACATATATATATATATATATATATATAAAGATTAGTCAAATAGCATGGCATTACCTGATAAAAAGGCCACATGCCTCACTGAAATTATTCAACCATACTCAACATTATACCATGAAACAAACTTTGCTGGCTTTTAATGGTCCACTTATAACAGGTCCTAAAGAATAAAGCATCATCCTTTTGAAGGTCCTAAAGCACTCAATCTCTAGAAATATGACTAAAGAATGTTATTATGTAATCAGAAGGCTCTTCTCTGCTTACAAGGAAAGAGCATATAAACATGTCTACCAGGAACAGAACTAACAACCCAGCAATTTCTGTGATGTTACTTTAACCTCCAGGCCAGGATTTCTGCTGGTTTTCATTTGACCAGGTGGGGACCCTAAAACCTCACTGACTCTCCTAATCTGTGGCAGAGGGCACCCTCAAAGTCTCAGCAAGGGAAAAATTTTGAAAGGAAGGAAGGGAAATTAAAATGTCCTTAAAACAAACAGAACAAAATTTTTTTAAAAATCAAGCAAGCGAATGTGTTCGTGATAGCAGCACCCTTCAGCGCAAGTACTCACGCAGAGTCTACCGGCCAGAAGTTGATCAGAGTAACAGGACTGCAAAACAAAAAATGAGGTGGTGAAGAGAGACACAGGCAAACTCAGCCACACACACACACAAAAAAAATTACTGAAAGGTCAAAATAAATGAAACCCAATTAAGTATGAACCATGAAAAGCAACAGCCAGACAAAGGTGAAAGGTGAATTAAAAGAAAACCAGTGGTGCGACTGCCATCAGAGTCATGGAAAACAGAAGAGAAGGTTCAAAAGAGGTGAAGACAAGATCATCATTTGGATCTAGAGAATCATAACTACTTACTGTGAAGACATTTCCTGTGACCAATATTTTCTTTCAAGTAGGAAAAAGTGACTAGCTATGACCACACAATCAGATACAAAAAGACACACGCCTACTGATTTGTGAGGGGGTAGAATCAAAATGAAATCTTGGAGTCACTCATTTGTAAACAGTCCCGTATTTCTTACAAGACTTTGTAAGGGAATTAGGAGCCAGAATATGGTGGTTTTTTTTCTCCTGTGAGATACAGTTTAACTTTTCGAAAGGGTCACTGTTCACGGGACAATTGACACGGAAACTGGTGACTGAATGTCAGCTCACTTTTCTCTTTACAGTTACAGTAAATCTAAAGAAAGAAATAGGAGAGACTGTTTGCATTTGGGAGTGAAGGAAGGTATTCAGGTGAGAGGAGCTCAAATATACGTCAACTAAGAGGCTGCTGTGCTCTGGCCACTACTCACGTTTCCATGTTGTCCCCCTCTAAGACCGTCTGCACTGGCAGGTAGCCCATTCGGGGATGCTTCGCAAAATACCTTTTGGTGCGAAATTTGTTTTTTAGTACCTTGGCAAAGTCTCGAACATCTTCTCCCGATGTAGTCTGAAACAGAAATCATGAGGAGATCAGGCTTAAGGCGAGGTTTCGAATGGAAAGCACCACTTCAGTGCTCTGCCTTGAGGTATTTGTCTTACAATTAAGAGCAAAAGCTGAAATCACACAAAACGGGCTTTGACACCAGACCTGCCCTTTACTAATGAGGTTAATGGGGGTGAGTTATTTACCTACCCAAGGCTCCAATCATCTACAAAACTGAAGCAAGAATGCCTCAGTAAGTTGTGATGATGAATCAATGAAGTGTCAACTACTAGGCTGCTCGATAAATGGTAATTAACAGACGTGTGCAGGTCAGAGTGTTGACCTTCAGTTTTGCCACACCTTACGGTATTTGTAAAACGGTATCTGTCCATATTGCTGTCAGATTTTACCTACTAAGTACCATTTGATTCACAGCACGGTACATTCTCCATCATTGAATACCTTTGCAAAAGGAATCAAAGTGAGGAAGACAATGAAATAACTGGGAGGACAGCTCTGAAGATGCAAGAGAGAAAAGCTCTAAAGCAGAAATTCTCAAACTCTGATGTGTTGGAAACCACCTGCAGACCTTGCTAAAATGCCGCTTTTGATTTAGAAAGTCCAGGGTGAGGTTTGAGGTTCTGCATTGCTAATAAGCTCCCAGGTGATGCCAAAGCTGCCGGCCCACAGATGGCACTTTGAATAGCTAGCAGCCAGTGTTGAAAGAATACGAGATATACACCCAGGTCTGTGTCCATCAAGTCCATGCCCTTTCCATTTCACTAGTGATTTTTCTTTTCTTTCTTTATTAAGTTAATATTTATTGGACTATAGTTGCTTTACAATGCTGTGTTAGCTTCTGTTGTACACCAATGTGAATCAGCTGTACGTACACATGCATCACCCCTTTGAGGGATTTTCTTCCCATTTAGCTCACCAGAGCACTGAGTAGAGTTCCCTGCACTATACAGTAGGTTTTCATTAGTTATCTATTTTATATACTGTGTCAATAGTGTATATATGTCAATCCCAATCTCCTAATTCAGACCACCACCACCTTCCCCCTTGGTGTCCATATATGTGTCACCAGCAATTTTTCAAAGTTCTCTTGGCCACTTAACGTTTCCCCAAGACAATAACTTAATTATAGAAATATTATTATATAGAAATATAAGAAATAACTTAATTATAGAAACTTGGGCAAACTTTTTAATCTCAGAATGTCATGAGTTCTCAACTGTAAAAAGGGGATAAAAATAATACCTCTCTCATACAGAGTAGTTTCAAAGGTAAATGCCTAGCATTTAATGGTGTTAGTATATCGAACAGACAAAAGATGAGCAAGAGTCATTTAAATGGTGGATTACAAATTTCAGGGAACCTACATTTTTCCTCCTCTATACTCAATGTGCCCCATAGGCCTAACACCTCTACACACAACAGCTAGGGATGCAGAAACTAAACGTGAAAATGTCTTCTCTACAACCCATGGAAACAAAAAAGAAAACTATTGCTTCACCCAACAGTGTGTGTGGAGTGTCTATGACATTCTGTGTGTGCCAGGCATTGCACCAGGGATAAAGTCAATCCCAGAGTCTGCAATTTGGAGCTACTTGAGTTGGGCAACATCTGGGGAACTGAGCAATCATAGCATCACAGATCATCTGCAACACTAGAAAACTGAAACTTCTCCCAGGTGAGCTGACTCAAGCTCAGGGACACATTTACTTACCGGAGTGCAATATTCCACCATGGGATAGTGCATTTTATGGCCTTTTGCAACACGGCCAGAGAAAAAGCAGCTTTGGCAGATGTCATAATTAAAGTGCTTTAGACTCCTGTACCTGGTAAAGCACAAAAACAAACATGTATGTATCTCTTCAGATCAAATTCCCAAAGAATACCCTTTAAGAAACCTCCTTCCATACTGTTTTAATTCTAGAAACAGAATGCCATGTTTATTAATCCCTCAAGGTAAATGATTAAATTCCTACCTCCAGATTTTTCTGGTGCTTTACCTGCAGTATCAAAACATTTTGGCAGAAACATCCTGTAAACATTTGGAGGGAGGGGAGAAAAACTCAGCTCTTGCTTAAACTCCACTGGGAACTCTTTCAGATTAAGTAGGAAGACACTGGCAAACTTCTAGGTTTTTGAAGACCAAATACTGGAATTGAAAACAACGCTCAGAAAGGACAGATGCTGGGCATACACACTGAGGAAACCAGATCTGAAAGAGACACGTGCACCCCAATGTTCATCGCAGCACTGTTCATAATAGCCAGGACATGGAAGCAACCTAGATGCCCATCAGCAGACGAATGGATAAAGAAGCCATGGTACATATACACCATGGAATATTACTCAGCCATTAAAAAGAATTCATTTGAATCAGTTCTAATGAGATGGATGAAACTGGAGTCCATCATACAGAGTGAAGTAAGCCAGAAAGATAAAGACCAATACAGTATACTAATGCATATATATGGAATTTAGAAAGATGGTAATGATAACCCTATATGCAAAACAGAAAAAGAGACACAGATGTACCGAACAGACTTGGGACTCTGTGGGAGAAGGCGAGGGTGGGATGTTTAGAGAGAACAGCATTGAAACATGTATACTATCAAGGGTGAAACAGATCACCAATCCAGGTTGGATGCATGAGACAAGTGCTCAGGGCTGGTGCACTGGGAAGACCCAGAGGGATGGGATGGGAAAGGAGGCAGGAGGAGGGATCGGGATGGGGAACACATGTAAATCCATGGCTGATTCATGTCAGTGTATGGCAAAAACCACCACAATATTGTAAAGTAATTAGCCTCCAACTAATAAAAATAAACGGAAAAAAAAAGAAAAAAAATTATCCTTAGGTATCTGACATACTCTATGTAATGTATATGAATATGTTGAGAAAGGAATGTTTCCGGCCATATCAATAAACCAGATATTTTTTATATCATTAAAAATAAAGAAAAGGACAGATTGATGCATCTCAGGCCCATCCCCCACCCATCAAAAGGGCACCAACATTTCCTGAGGGACTTATTTTTAAAAAAATTATATAGATAAAGCAACTTCATAAGACAAAAGAAAATTCAGCAAGAAGTCTCAATTAAAACAAATCTTACAGTAATTACATTTTCTGATTGACAGACATGATTCATTTTCAGAGTTACTTGGAGAACCTCTTTTATCTGTCTGTCTTCAGAAATCCCTCACCACCATACCCTCACATAAAAATGGAAACCCCAAGGAAAGACACAATTTGGGTGAGATGAAAGGATTCATAATCTGGAAGTACTACATGCTACACTTTCCCCCATTCTCAGAATACTGTATTCTTGGTTTCATACCCTCCCTGCCTTGTGCTTTTTCAGATAAGACTCTGAGCCAATTCAAATAAACATATTCCTCATGTCACACATGGGAATGTGGGGAAAAAGCTACTGTTTTTAGATCCTAGTCATCTTCTGAGAATGGGGAAAAGGAGGAAAGAGAAGTGCTGATTCCTAAAATAATTTACTTTTGTAAGGGCAAAAGAACTGAATGTCAAAATGCTGTCTTAGACCCTCCAAAGCATTCTCCTTCTGCATTTTATAAAATCCACCCTCCACTTTGTCTACAGATCTTACCAGTGAAGGAAGCTAAGAAAATAAAGGTAAGAAATGCAATGCAGTCCCCTGGAGCTCCCCCTCCCCGCTGCCCCAAGGAATCACTCTTACCCGCAGAAACCAGGAAGGAAAGGTGTCCTTTGCTAGCACTGCCTACTCAATGATATCTATCTAGGCTTTAGAAACCTCTGAAGGTCTCTGTAAAACCTCTTTGTACACAGCATGAAGTATGGAAGGAGCACAGTGAATAAAAGGCACACAAATGGTACAATGTAATTATTAGAAACGAAGTAATGAGACAAGTCTCAGCATAACCAGCGATGAGTATTTACTTAGGTGGTAAGTGGATCCTGAACAGGCAGAGGATGCTACAGCTAGTTTACAACTTGACAGTTTATTCATCACTATGGCAACCTCGATGTTGATCCAGATGTTTAAATACACCACCATTTCAGAATTTGGGTTTGGGATTACTGTTCATGACGATTCATTCATTTAAAAATACCCTGTCTCCCCAGACAGGTCAACAAGACTGAAGATTTATTTATTTATTTAGTTTAAGACTGAAGATTTAAAAGCCAAGTGTTTTCTGGGACATTTTAAGAAAGTCAGAATAATAATAACCTACAATGTTTCCTACTTCTTGCACTTTTAAATTTATAAGGAACATTTTCTTGCTTTAGTGGCTTTGTGAATCTTTCATTTACTTGCACACTTTATATTCCCTCAGAAGTTCATTAGGAGACTATGAAAAGAGCGTAATTGGATTCACAGATCAAGAAGTATGTTCTAGGCTGCTCTAAACAATTCTGGTTACTTTAGGGCAAGAAAAGTGGTGTAGAGTGATTAAGAGACTGAGCTACTATGACGAGTCTCCCAAAATAGAATCATTCCTTAGTTTTATAACTGATTCTGGGAGAGTTTCTATAAACAGAAGAGAGCATGGGGAAAAAAAGAGATGATCAAAAAGTCTTGGTTCCAGGAAAGAAGAGGTACAGTTAATCTGTGTATACTTGACGGACGAAAATCTTGGTGGAGACAAGGAGTCCATCCTGATCGATGAAGAACATGGCTCTGCAGAGCTAAAGAGGGAAAGCGGAGAGGGCCACCTGTCTCATGAAGCAGGTTCAACAATATAACCCAGTGCTCAGGGGGGTGACAGGAGGAATCCAGGCTCCAGCCTGGTCACCTCCTCTCCCACCATGGAGAGGAACAGACTAACAGCAACTGGCACGGTGGGTAACAATGCACTAATAGCAACTGGTACGGGGGCGGGGTAACAGATCAAGTCATACAAGGGTGAGAAATGATACGACAAAAATGACACTGGGGCGCTTCGGCCTACCTGAAGCCGATGATCGGACACTCCTTGCAGATGTTACACTTGGCCTGATGCTTGGCAGTCTCTGCGGCAGCCACTCTGTGCAGGACGGGCAGCCACACCATGGACTGGGGTTCTAGTCTCATCCAATCGAGGAAGAGTGCCGCTTCGATCTCAGGCTTATTATTAGCCTGCAGAGACAGGAGGCCGGAGAGTGCAAGGAGAGAAGATATAAGAAAGTAAAGGAGGCGTACGTCATTTCCGGTGATGCATCAAATAAAGAGCCAAAGTGGTGCAAGGAGGCCCACTTTTCACAGCCTGATTCTGCAAATGTCCCCCAACATCCACACGAGCCCTCTGCCACATGGCAGTCTGGGAAGCTGCCATGACTCTGTTCGGCTACTAGACGACAAGAAAGCAAAGCAAACAAATGCAAAAAGTAGAGTACAATACCCACCTGGGAGAGACTATATCTCACTCAATTTGGGAAGAGATATATAAAACTTATCCATAAGTAAAAAGGAAGTGCTTACTGACAAAATTTCAAAAGAGAGACAGAGAGAAAAAAGAAACCTCAAGGAATGATTGATCCTTTTTTTTTTATTTCCCCTCCAGTGAATCTGTTTCTCAGTGTTTCTTATAATCGTAATGAAGAGGCTTTACAATTCATCTGGTCCTGAAGCTTCATTTTACAGAAAAGAAAACTGAGATGTAGATGAGAGAAATGGCTTTTCAAAGGCCAGACAGCTCCCTGGCAGCAGGAATGAGTCTGGGGAATACATGTAAATCCATGGCTAATTCATTTCAATGTATGACAAAAACCACTGCAATGTTGTAAAGTAATTAGCCTCCAACTAATAAAAATAAATGGAAAAAAAAAAAGAAACCTCCTGCTCTAGTGCTCTCTTCATGGCAACCTGTTGTTTCTCTGTCTGACTCTAGTTTTCTGTTTTTCAGAGTCTAATACATACCGTGCCTCCCAGTGAGTCCAATGATTTTAGAAAATTCAAATTACATTTACCCATCATTTGATTGGTATGTTACTATAGTCATGCATTTAATTACATTTTTTAAGCCTACAAGACCATGTTTTACGTGTTTGCATTGTTAGATCGATCCATATATTAACCACTTTTGGGGGGTTTGTTTTCCATTGCTTCCTTCATCTCAGATCTCCCATCTGGGATCAGTTATGTTGGCAGTATAGCTTTTAGTATTTCCTTTAGTAAGTGTCTGTTGATGGTGAATTTCTCAGTTTTTCTTTGCCTGAAAGTCTCTTTTACCCATATTCTTGATAGTTATCCTCATTGGGTCATGATTTTTAGACTGAAAGGGGTGTTTTGTTTGTTTTGATTTTGTTTTAGCACACTGAAATACTATTTCACTTTTATTTCACTTTCTCTGCTGCTAACCATTGACAAGTCAGCCATGACGCTATTGGTTCCTTGAAGGTCATCTATCCTTTCCCTGTCTCATCTTGTACTTCTAGGATTTTATCAATACTTTTTAGGATTTACTAGGCTTCAGGAATCTGTGGGTTAGAGTCTTTAGTCAGCTCTGGAAGCTTCTCAGTCATGATCTAAACAAATACTGCCTCTTCTCCAACCCTTCTCTCTGCTTACGGGAGTCCATTAGATCAGTGTTAGACTTTCTCAATCTAACTGCCATTTCTCTGAGCAGGCGTTCCCTAAGAAAGTGCCTTCTCCAGAGATGGTCTTCATTTGCTTTTTCCCAGAATCAAAGGGTGGTACCTATTTTGAGATCAAATTACACTGAATATATGATGGGATATTTAGCATCATACACACAATGAGTATATGAACTGCAAACTCATGGTGCTTCTCTTGGAAAGTGGTGTGCTAATAAAGAATGTATTCACACTTTAGGCAGACAAGAGTAGGGTCAGTGGGCTTGTAACACTCACCACTTCGGCAGTACTCCAGGAATTATCAACTCAGTACTTCCCAATTATCAACTCAGCAACATTATAATGAGCTGTTTAACCTTGAATTCCTAGCTGCAAAGTGGCATATAAATTCAAGCTACTGATCAAAAGCTTCTGTTGAGTACATCGTTCTAGATAGAGTGCTATCACAGAGGTAATGTACTTTGTGAACATTTTCTTAAAAGCTAAAAAAGAATTACAGAACCTGACGATGAAAGGGACCATGGACATGAATTCCTCCTTTTGGAATGACACTACAGAGCTGTAAGACTTTTGACAGTCACTATGTCCAAACTTATCCAATGCCAGTGTGTTCCCATAGCCGCCATATAATAACCATCCATGTGAGGAAGCAAACATCCTCCATGGACGATCTTGAACATTTGTGTACAGGTACCCTTGTCACAAGTGCCTCATAAAACTGAGCTGAAATCCATCAGCACAGCCAATAGGAGGAGAGGCTCCAGAGTCCAACCACAAGAGTTCAAATCCCAGTTTTGCCACTGATTGTGTTACTCTGGGAGAGTAACTTTATCTTTCTGTGTCTCAATTTTCCTCTGCCATGAAGTGGAACTATTTATAGGACTTACCTTGTAGGGCTGCTTTAATATTTCAGTGAAAGATACTTGAACACTGGCACATAGCGAGAGCCATGTCAGTGTTTGCTATCATTATGTCATTATTACTATACATCTGACCAGAAACATCGAAGTTCTCAAGCCTTCACAAATCTCTTTCAAAATTTTACCAGAGCTGTCATGTCTGTCCATGGCCCTTCATCCCTATTTCTCTTATTTCTTCCTCATATGACACATGGTTTGCCATTGTCCTTTAGAACTCTGTTCTCCAAAAAATGATGTGCTGTGAATGGTACTGCCATCTCTCTGGACAGTATAATTGGATGACTTTCTTTTGTTCTGTACTATAGGCTCCCACAGCGCTTCCACGCCACTAAAATCTCTGGGTCAGTGTTTCCCAGTGTGTCCAGAAGATCAATGACCCAGCAAGATGTTTCATGAAGAGAAGGTCAAATTAATTAAGGAAACATTGCACATTCTATCTGTCGCTTAATGCACGCTAACATACTAAAAGCTGGGTTGGTTGTCAGTAAGGAAACATTAAGCCTTGTTTGACCTCAGAATTGCTCACACTAATTATTCAGTGATCCTGGGATATTTATCACTGTTCTTATGTTATAAGACTGGTGAGCACCCCCAAGGTACTAATGCATTGTTGGGTATGATAAAAAATACTGTTTGGTTGTTTCCAGTGATTCCGCTGTTTTGTATATATTCATTTGGGATATATTTCCTTCCACTTCCGTCAAGGACTTTCCTGTTAGTTTTAGCCCATTGCATCAGCTCATCTGTATCTTTAAGGATCCTGACTCTTACAGCTCATGGGTTAATCATTCTCCTCAACTCTGTAATTTTTACATTTAAATATACATTTTCTGGGGACTCCCCTGCTCGTCCAGTAACTAAGACTCCACATTCCCAGGTTCGGTCCCTGGTCAGGGAACTAGATCCCACATGCCACAACTGAGAGTTCCCATGTCACAACTTTACAGATCCCACACACTGCAACTAAGACCCAGCACAGCCAAATAAATAAATAATTAACAGATATTTTAAAATAAATAAATAAAATATGTGTTCTGCCTTCACCCAAAGGTCACTAGTGAAAAAATTTAACAGGCCAAGGTCAAAGGTGGGCCACACAACTACAGACTGCACCTCTGGTCAGCACAAAGCCAGAAGCCAGCCCTCTCTGGTTGGTGGACTGTGACTCCCTCTAGTTATATTATTATTTAGTCTCTAAGTGTTTCTTCATCTGGTAAGCAAAGATACAATGAGAGATTGTGTCAAAAGAACTGCAAGTTCCGGTTACAATAAGTCCTATAACAATCTCTTGCTCCACTGGTCCAGAAACTAAATTTATCAAAATAACCATCTGGAGCTAGGACAAAAACTATCACAGAAAGACAGCAAATTGAAAAAAGCATTACTAATTCATTCTGATGTAAAACATGGGGTTTATTGTTGCCTAATCTGAACCTATATATGTTTCCCTGACTTAAGTTTAAAGGATAGTTTCTTTAATGATAGATTCAATGACATGCTACAAAGAAAGAATTCAGGCTTATTACAGAGAGCATAATATTAAGAGAAAGCTTCTGTTCACTGTGGAAGACAGAAAAAAAAACAATCTGACCATGAGTCAGCAACAAATGTAGGTGCCCAAAATAAAGAGGAAAAAAAATTGACCATGTCTGTGATGTATAATGAAAGGCCTAACAAATATAGTGTGAAACAATCATTGCGTTATCCTTGGGACTAGAGAACGGTGTCTAGTTCTAGTGGCTAAAGCTAAGTCCTGACCCAGAACTTAGAGAAGGCTTGGCAGAAAGGCACAGCGATAATTAAAGAGCTTGAAAGACCTATGAGAACAGCTTAAGGGAATGGGGATTATTTAGCCATGAAACACACACACACATGAGAATATGCAAGAAATTGTGGCTGAAGGGGCGATTTAATAACAGTTTTCAATTATGTGAATGGCTCTTGCATAGGGGCCTATGACCAGCTGTTCGCTTTCTCCACCGAGGACAGAACAAGAAGAAACAGGCTTAAGCAGCATGAAGAATTTAGGCTGTAACTCATATGGAAGCATTTTCTGATGCTGAAAGTTGGTAAAGCATTAGTGGAAATTAACAAGGGAAGCTAGAGAATGTTCTCCTCTTTCAAAAGACCACAGATTCTCCTGTGCTTAAAGGCGGGAAATTCTCAAGGTTCTTTCTTCCTCCTAAGATGCAAGATCCATCATTTTGGCTCTTTCAAAACTGCTCGCCTGTGCCGACAGCACTGAAGACAAGGTACAGGGATTCACATTCTCATTCTGTTTCGTTCTTTCATTTTTACTACCAACAATGCTGTATCCTAGTGGCATATTCCCTTTCCTTTCGTCTGGCGATAAAGAAAGGAAGAATTCAAAACCAGGCCAAGTGTCTATAGGAGAGCTAAAAGCACTAGAAGTAAAACCCAGCTAAAATTACATTGTGATCACTCTAGAAAACAAGAGGTTAGCCTGAAATGTCAGGAAGCTGTTGAGGTCAAAAGACAGGTATGATGACAATGGATTGAGGTCATCCTTGCAGGTGCCATTATCTGCTGACCCGCATCCAGGCCTCATAGCTTCTCTCGCTATTGAGGATGACCTTGCCCTTGCCCCTAAACACCAGTGTCA